CAAATTTTTATAAAAACGATGCAGCGCATGGCACTGCTAGTTCTGCTAGCTTAATATTTTGCGTGTCTGAGACCAGACGAACAACTTGATGAAGCAAGCCGTTCTTTGACAATTTAGTGCCGTGAGTAATTGGCCGCTTTCCGGTGCATTGATGCTACGAAAATTCTAGTCAGCGCAGCATTGCAACGCGCATCCCCCCATAAGCTTAGTATTGTGTATAATTCAATTTAGTTATGTTCAGTGGCGGTCCCAGGGGGCCCGGCTCCCCCCCCTATTGTTCATTTTTTTCATCAGATTTATTCTTTTCCGTGTTGGGACAAAGTTCGGGTTTGGGCCCCTCCCTTTACCAAATCCTGGGACCGCTACTGTCAGTGGCGGTCCCAGGGGGGGGCCACGGGCCCCCTCATTCATTTTTTTCATTAGATTTCTTTCATTTTTTTCCATGTTGGGGCAAAGTTCGGGTTTGAGCCCCTCCCTTTACCAAATCCTGGGACCGCTACTGGTTATGTTACAAGAATAAAATTTATTTTTCGATTTATATGCCTTTATTTATTGACTGTACTTTTTCCTTTATTTTAAGCCAAGTTACATGCGTAGTAACTATACGAAATCAAGCCAAAATCAAATTCGGTCTCTCAGACCGAGGTCACCACTGGTGTTCCAAAATTTCACGTCACCACTGCAGGGTTAAAAACCCCTGTTAAAGTTTTTCTAGAAATGCTCCAGAATTTGAGAAATAAATTTTTAAAGTTGACCACGCACATACTTCTAAATAGAACACCTAACTTTGACATCGCATTAAAGAAGTTACAGAGAGGTTGGAAGAAAACCCCCTATAGGGGTGATAGAAGGGATGTTCCCCTTTAAAACCCATGTTACAGTTTTTCTAGAAGTGCCCCAGAATTTGAGAAATTAATTTTTAAATTTGACCTTGCACGTACTTGTAAATAGAACACCTAATTTTGACATCGCATTAAAGAAGTTACAGAGAGGTTGGAAGAAAACCCCCTGTAGGGGTGATAGAAGGGATGTTCCTCCTTTAACACCCTGCTCGCAGTTTTTCTGGAAGTGCCCTATCATTCGAGAACTTATGAGTGTGTTTGTTCATTCTTTTAAATGTGAACGTTGTGATTTAGGTAATTTTTGCTGTGCATGCGTGAGTTGTGGTTATGAAGCCGATTTTGCGTGATGATTGATGTCATTCACTTGAAAATGTTTGTTTATAATTTTCGGTGAAGTCCCAGACTATAATATAGGAAACCACGATCACTGCTTTTTTCATTCCATAAGAATCTCTCTTTTTGGTTATGTTATTGTGATCCTGTATATTGTACCTATAACGGTAGACAACTGCTATTTGCATTGCATGTAAGTGCACGTGCACGGCGTAGTAGTTACTGTTATGGAGGTGGTTATTGACAGTGGATCTATTACCTACTTAAAACCTTATATCTATCTGTATGTACGTGTGCGTTTACAATGAACGTATACAAAAATTCTTTTAAATGTGAACTTTGTGCTTTCTGTAATTTTTATTGCGCATGCGGGAGCTGTGGTTATGAACCCGATCTTGGCGGGCTAACGCCAACTTCAAAACACACCGGAATATTTGACCATATTCTGTAGTGAGGGAATGCCAAACTAACATGGCTGCCTATTTGAATATTCTCGCTTAAGTTTCCCGCGAGAATCTGTCACTCGGGGGCCACTCCGAGTGCACTAAGATCGTGATCGTCATGTAGGACACCTACGTTGTGTAATAACTGGGTTCTCAGCAGGCACTGAGGGTGTTTTATGGATAAGGAACACCAAAAGTAAAAATAAATAGCTGATTAAGTTTATATTGAATCTAATACCAATACGATTACAGAGTGACCCGCATAATGGTTTTTAGCGGCGCCCCTGCAGAGGGTATTAGGTGGTTCTATACTACTCCGGCATTTACCTTACGAATTGGAAAACTACAGGAAAACCTAATTCGGAGTAGTCCTATAATAAACATCTAATGTACAGCACTTTTGAGCCCCCTCGAAACCGGGGTAAATACTATACAAACACGCTATGAGTAACCAAAATGGAATCGAGACATTCTCCAGGTATTACAACACATCATCAGGCAAAACTAAGAAGTGTTAAATATACCTCGACGGCCGGGAGGATTACCCAGGCCCTGTAGACATGGGCTAAAGTTGTTGGGTTCGGAACGAGTGAAAATGTTAGTGTTAGGTTCACCAAGGCCCGTATAAACTTGAATAACTCGATCCCCTCTAAACAAGCACACTTCCCTCTTGATTACTCCAGTCCCAAATAAGCAAATATAATGAAATGCAATGAAATAATCGAGAGTGACTAAAAAGCACAATACGCAAATATGTACACATGCAAGTATGTACAGCACAGATACAGCCCTACCGACAATGAAACATGACTGCCAATACCAACAAAGGTTACACATTAAGAGGTACAAGTGATTGAATCCAGTAAGTACATAAGTAAAGAGTTACAATCTACATTCAAGTTATGCACATTTATAGATTAATTGAATAAAGCAAATACCTCACCTGATACAAAAAAGCAAAAGGACACAGTTAAGGTATAACAAAATATTTCAAGACAAGCCGTACTTTACACTTCAGCCGGTTACAAGACAAAGACCATGAACACACATGTCAAATCCTATTTATTGAACAACCCAAGCCATTCGGTAATTTGATCTGCTAATACCCCTAAAAACCTCCCGAAAAAAAATTCTCAAAAGAAGGATTTGCGTAAATCGCAACATTCCTACACTCAAAATGTGCGATTCTCCCATAAGCTCAATAATAAATTTGGGAAAAATGGCGGAAATGAGCATATGGCCACACTGTCTTTATAGAGTCACTGTAATATGGGCACCGACAGCATAATACCTATTGGGCATTTACGAAAACTGGAGCGGTAGATCCACGATGGAAAATGTCGGTAAACATTTGATGATGACTGATGAGATGCGGTAACTTTGGTGCATGCCTGTTTATAGAACAATGCTTTTGTCATGTGTAAATGTAGCGCATAAATTTATAAACATATAGAGTAGGAAACAAAGATAGTTCCACAAACAGAACACCCTTCCCCATGTCAAAGGGTGCTGATAAATTATTAAACACAATGGAATAAGTTTCAATCTATAAAATGAACTAAAAATGCCGAAAATTACGATTTTTAGAAATAAACAGATATAGTTTCATCTGTCAAATCGCTACAGCGTTGCCGTCGTGACACACTAATTATCTTAAATTTTCTTATTAGGCCGTTTAATTTCAACTTATAATAGTTTGTTTTTCACCACCTTTATAAATATTTAAAAATCCATTTAGATCCTTTCTATATATCTATTATTAATATTAATTAAAAAATGGTTTCGCGAAATGTGACAAGTTCGCTTCCTGCAATATTTACAAACACGACGAGATTATGGCGCGTTTTGATAAGCATCAAGGCATCGCTATCTTTATTTCTTACTCTGAGATAAACAGCATATACCTACAAGGCTACATTAGCATATACTTACTACCATGAAAGTGTTTCGTAAGATCTAAGGTTTCGAATATAACAAAAAATGTACACAACGGAAGTCCTCTTGATAATTATTGAAGGAAAGCCAAAAAGATTGCAAAGTGAGGTTACAACTCTTGCACCTTTTTTTAGTGGCGCGCGTGGACCAACCAGATGAATACACTCCAATTAGTGATCCATTTCGTTAATGTGATCGGTACATATGGTAATAAAAGAACACTGTAAAATAATTACCTATCACATTTTCGAACGCTACGGTATATATACCGGGATCTACAGCTCCAATTTTTGTAAATGCCTCATAAATATATTACACCAATAGGCCTTCTAACCACCTCCATAACAGTGGCTACTAAGCCGTGGACTTGAATTTGGTTGGAAGTGGCTGACACATAGAAATTACCGTTAACAGGTACAATACACAGGACCACAAAAACTTATAACCAAAACGAAAAATTATGAAATGAATAAATTAGTAATCGTGGTTTAATATACTATTTAATCTGAAGACTTCGCCGAAAATAAATTACCAAACCTGTCGGCTGTCATGTGATTTAAGCTGAATTTATAGTTCCGTACCCGCAACACCGTACCGTAACGTTTGGAATTACTTGTTGCGCGTGAACATTTATAGTTCCCGTTTACGTTGCGTTAGAACGGTTACGGTACGTAGGAAATGCCCAAATCTATTCCTTACGGTAAATCGCGCTAACGCGCCTGTCTTCGATAGTACTCGGATAATTCAAACAGTTGAGTTTATCCGGACGTTCGTTTCGTTTATTTACAGTAATTATTGACACTTTGTTGGTTATTATTATTTTGAAATGCACGTTACTCTTACTGACAGATGACATACAATGGCAGATAAATACGCAAGCTCATCTCTTACCACTACGGTAACTATAAATCGCATAATTTTCGTTAACGTCAGATTTTACGGTTCCGTTCTTACGGCTACGGAACTATAAAGCCGGATCCGGCTTTAATGTGAATAACTGCAACAATTACACAAAATCGGCTTCATAACCACAGCTCCCGCATGAGCAAAACAGATGACCAAAATCACAACGTTCACATTTAAAAGAATGACCAAAATACCCTTAATCATTAAGTTCTCGAATTTTAGGGCACTTCCAGAAAAACCGCGAGCAGGGTGTTAAAGAGGAACATCCCTTCTATCGCCCCTATAGGGGATTTTCTTCTAACCTCTCTGTAACTTCTTTAATGCGATGTCAAAGTTAGGTGTTCTATTTAGAAATGTGCTAGGTCAAAAAAATTAATTTCTCAAATTCTGGAGCACTTCTAGAAAAACTTTAACAGGGGTTTTTAAGAGGAACTACGCTTCTATCATCCCTGCGAGGACTTCTCTTTCAATCTGCCTTTTGGTATGTAGGGAAGTTACATTTCTCGATGTGTGGTTCACTTTTGAAATAAACGCTTCCAGATGACGAATAGGATAATCGTTTAATTATCAGGATACAAATTTTGTTGACAATATTTGTGTAACTTTGTTAGCGAATGACACGTCTTCGTTTACATACTACGGTGCACCCATCAAACAGAACGAGATACGTGTCTAACAATGTCTCACGTGCTCGTGTTTCTACACAGGTACATGTATTAGCATCTTGTAAATATACAAATCTCTCATTCAATGGAGATTACATATTTAACTAATCGTGTTAGTAGATATATCACGATTGAACTCGACATAATTTCCATTACGAAGGAGCATCAACTTGTCGATGTGCTTGTTCCTTACAAGAGTCGTAGAACATGAGCTTCGTTCCATTAACACGGTTTATCTCTGGACTCTTTATCCATTATTAATTCCCACGAACCTGTAACTGTTGACTCAATTTGCATTACAGGTAAGAATAAGTGAAATTTGAGATTACCTATTTTTATAGCGACAGCGTACACCTCCAATTTATTGTTAAGGGGACCCGGCGCCTCTTGCACATCTTTCGATTTCCATCGGCCTTTTTCTTGCTTTATATTAAACAATATTGTGCAGCAGGTGCAAATCCTACATTCATTGTTTACTGTTATCATAAAAGGAATCGTAAAATTGGACTTACCGAATATGTACGTAAAAACTGTAAAGGTCACGTGTGACCGACGTAAATAACCCAATAAATCGCTTGCCTTCTCAAAATTGATGAACGTATAAATAATCCATTTACACGTTCGATGTAAGTAACAATCAATAACAGCTGTTTTGTTTTTGCGCAACCGCAAATAAAACGTACCTAAGACCTACGGCTACTTTCCTTCTCTAACGTAACTGCGCATTTGCATGCAGAGTAATTTTCATTCATACCATTTCCATTTGATACATTAAATTTGTGTCTCATTCTTATGCGATACATTTTATGCAGACCGAATTTCCATTGTATGTATAAGCACACTTAAAATGCGCTGTATTTTAATGCGGTGTATCGCATAGAAATGATTCACAAAATAATTCGACGTTCATTTGAATTAAAAGATGCACTATTAAATTCATTGGAATTCAATGCTACATCTTAAACTTCGATTTAATTTTTATGCCATACCTTACGAATAATTTCATTTCCATAGGTAATGTCGCAACGGGTATCTATTTTAATCCCATACGTGAATAACGTTTGTTCTTTAAAGTGCATATATACGAATTTCAATGCATGCGATTTAATTTGATATACGCATGAGAATGGTTTACATTTTTTTTTGGATGCAAACATACTCGACTCAATTTTATTTAATATCAATTCAATTACACACAGCAGCAAATGTATTTCACTTCTGGTATAGCTGGACAGTTCCAAATAAATGCCTTATGTGTTTAAATCTTTTATAGAAATTGCTATTTATTTTGATGCATGACAATTAAATTGGCAATGTTTAATATTCATCTCTGTCATCTTGTAGTGTTTTAGGATTCAAACGCTGAAATCCATATTAACATTTCTTACATTTGCATACATTTGGCTAACATTTTTTTGAGATGTTGAATTTGTTGGTAACAATTCAATTGTTATTTAAATATCTTCATATACGTTATAAATGTATAATAAATAGTAAAACGGCGCACCATAATCGTTGATGTAGGTAGAACGTCAACAGATCCTCAGGACCTGCTATTCCTATATACAGGGAATTTTTCTTAAATGTGTACATATGGGTATGCATATTAAAAAAAAAGATCAAATGCATGGAGTAGGAGATGGATGTAGGCAACCAACGCTACACGCGACAAACGCGTTACTATCCGGATGCCATGTTAATATTCAACTTTAGCGCCTTTTCTATACATCTTTGGATTAAAACATCACAATTAGAAGCTAATAATAAAAATGAAGACTAATAGCTAACCTTAATTTTTGACAGCAAATACTTAATTCAGTTACGGTTTCCATAGAAGACGCAGATTATCATTTAAAAGAAATTCGTATAGAATTGGTTGCCTATTTTAGTAATCTATTCCGTGCATTTGTTCCGTTTTGTAAGTTATGTAGCTCAATAACAAATTTGGAAAAATAGTCTGTATACAATCACTATCGGACACATAAAATTAGAAATAGAGGGTAGATAAGTCATCGTAATTAAGCAAATAGTGGCTCCTTACGTGTGCATCCACTAAGAAATTCAATTTGTAACCTCCATATGAGGAAAAAAATGTATCTCGATCCAATAGTAATTCGAGATCAAACAAACATCCGATGAATCGTCCGAAACAATACTTACACCATTGCAATTACACATTCATTGAAATTTATAGATAGAACCTCACATGTGCAACTAACTATCGGTCCTGACTGAATGGACCAATAAAAAATATTCACACACGAAACCAGCCTGAAAAATACAGTGAACCTCAAACAAAAGTTACAGTGATACTTAACCGAAAATAATTCATATATACTTGAGAAAATAAAACTGTAACAGTAAGAAACGTTTTGCATGCACCGTGCACGATTCAAAGCTACGTCAAGAGTTGTCTGACCGCAATATTAAATGATAATGTATGTACATCAAATGGCAACGAGCAGAGATTTCAACTAGAAATTGTTATGGAATTGGGTAATTATATCAGTCATATGAAAGTGTGTATACTTATAGAAACTCCTAAAAGTGGCTATGCGACATTTGTCTTAAATGAAAATGGCACTTGCGGCGTAATTACGTTGTGATTAGTAAACTTTGCACGTATAATTGCGGCCATAAACCTAATCGTATCGCAATCTGAAGCACTGAATGAATGTAAAGTTAAATTATGCACCTACAATTCACTCGTAAACTCAAATTTTATTATACAGTTATCGCAAGCGCAATTGCTTTATTGCAATTTCCTGAAGAATGCAGATTACGCTACACCTAATAGGTATCGATATCTCCCTTGAATAATTCCATTCGGTGTATGTATGTAATGACGTAAGGTCCTTGCAAATCAGACAAATATTTACACTACGTATAAGTACAGAATAAACTACCTGTGCTCATAGTAATAGTATAAGAACGATATTTTAGGGTGTTCTTTAATAATGGAAACGTTAAACGTCAACGCAACCCATACTTGATAATTGCACCAATATTCGAACGACTTAAGAAGGGGAGCATACGGCGGTGTAACGGGGTAGTTACAAAATTTGAACTGACTGATTAACTTAAGATTTTAAGATCGATTAATATATGAGCTGCACCGACTAGCTCAATCGAACTTACCTTATGATTCCCGCTAATGCTAAAACTAATGTTTATGTGCCTTTACAGCTGAATTCAGCTTTTTCAATACAATTTTCGGCATAGCTTTGCTAGAAATTTGATAGCTTACCTCTAAACATATTTGGACACTTAAATGGAAGAATGGTAATTATTATTGCACCCTTAATATGCCTAAATTCTCGGTGACTGAAATGCAATATAGTAACCAAATGATTTCACATAGCTCAACTTTATTATATACTCGTTCATGAAATAAACCTACTGCATAATGAATATCCGTCAGGTGATAAAAGAAAATTAATTGTATTTTATGGACAGCCTATACAATACAGCGAACTGCAATACGTTAATATGTTACGCGATTAAACTACGGGTTCATAAATATCTGTTCGTGCACCAGGAGTTTTAGTTGCATTCTGGTTACGGCTTTTAATCAGAATAGAATGGAAAGTTACTCTCCAGCTCTGTTTTGGAATTGAGATTGATCCTCCAGCTGTACTCTGCACGGACCGGCTACAGAATTCAATTTCATTTTTTTAAAGGTTGGATTGAGGTCAGTTTGCAAGTTATGGGTTCGGGAGAAGGTATTTAATGGTATGCGAAATTGGGGTGCCGGAATAAAATGGTTTGACTTTTCGCTGAGTTAATGGTGATTCTCCAGCAGTTGGCCAACTGGGAGAACAGGGAAGGTGGGCGGGGTATGGACGCCGCCGCCTCCCTACTGTAGGCACGGGTGGACCAGAGGGGCGTGTCGTCCGCGAACAGATTGATGTCGTCCGCGAACAGATTGATGGCCACGTTGCAAGAACATGAAGTAGGAGCGAGAGTAGGAGTGTCTTCTGCATATCTTAGGTATAGGATTGGGGCAAGTGTAGAACCCTGGGATACACCGGCGGAGGGCGAAAATTGAGGGAAAAGGTTTTTCGCGATCATGATCCTCATCGATCTATCGGAGAGGAAGGAAAGGATCAGCCGTGTAAGTGGCTCGGGAATTCCTAGGTCGCGAATTACGTCCGGCGTGCCAGACTCGGTCGAATGCTTGTTGTATGTCCAGGAACGGTACCTAAACAACACAAATGGATATCACAAATAAATCCTATTGTTTATGCAAATCTCTCCCGAAATTGAGGTTATACTTTCCACAATTAGTGTAGTTTACTACGAGTAATTTATTTTTAATGTGTTTGCCGCCAATATTGAGAGCGATGAGATTAACCTTAAACGAGCTTAAAATGCCGCAATATGGTGGTGCATATAAAATGTACGAATTGATCCTAAACTCGGTTTAATTACGTACTGTGAATACCGCCTAGTATCATTTTAAATTGCTACCATATTTCATATGTGGATAGGTTATGTATTATTTTGGTACTTAAATTTTGATTTGACTCCATTATGAGATCACTAAAAAAGCAATTAAATAAGACAGGAGCACGACACAAATTACGGCAAGTCGCCATACACTATTACACTCTAAGAACATACGATATTTTTTCGCTCAAATCACTTTATTTAAATGGTATTATAAAAAACGTATATAAAACGTGTTATGAAAAAAAAGTTTTTAATCAATTTCGTACGTAATAAACACGAGTGTGTGCTACTTGGGTTAACTCGTGCTATTTTTAAGTTTTTGTCATTTAACATCGGTAACGAGTAGACGTATTTAACAAACACTTCTCGCTTTCATCCCAATTACAATGTCCCGCTTCATTTACCTCATCCTGGATATACATACCTAAAGCATTGTCTTTTATTTCTTATCTTACTAAATGAACAATAAAATAAAATCAAATACTACGTTACTACAAAATTAAACAACAAATAATTCTAAAACAAAATCACATTGGCTTCAAATTCAAATGATATATTATCGACATCGCGTTATCATTTAACGTTAAAAATAATTGAAATGGGTCATATAGGGTGACCCATCATTAATTAGGTGCTGAAGCCAAATAAAAAGTCGGAAATGATTAGGTCCTAAAGGCCCCAGAATATTACAGATTTTAGGATCACTTATATTAATGTCAAAGCAAAAAAGGAACCCCTTAGTGTTCGGCCAGTTTCTTAAGCTGGGTTCAAGAAGTGATATTGATACACTTTTTAGCGCAGTTTTAAAAAGAATTAAAAAAATGTGCTATTGTTTGCGTTTTGTCCGTCCGTCCGTCCGGACTCACTTCTACCGTTTTGAACTACTTCCAGGGGAATGCTCCTAGAGCCCTGGAAATTTTTGCAGTAGGTAGCCTATACCTTGAAGGTGTGCCCGATGACCATCAAATTTCGCTGTTTAAAAGGGGGGCTCTCCCCACGAATTATTTCCTGAGATGCTGTTTTTGAAAGTAAAACGTGCGTAACTTTTACATACGACAACCAATTGGTCTCAGATTTTGTATACGCATGCCTTTAGTGGTGCCAAGTTAAACTTTAATTAATCTTTAAATGGGGGTGGGGGGGAGGTTAAAAAATAATTGTATCTCTTATTGTATTCTAATTAAAGGTCTCAACGAAAGGAACTGTTTTCTACCAACTACAGCCCTTCTTATCAAAGTACGGTGTGGAGGGGGGGGGGTGGAACTAACTTTATCCTTCATGGTACTCTAATGAAAGGTATCAACGAAAGGAATTAATTTCTACCAACCATAGTCCTCCTCCTCGACCTCTTATTTTATTTTTATTTATTGTCCCTCTTGTTCTAGGCCCTCGACAGACTTACGCCCAATTACAGAGTGATGCTTTTTAGAGGTGCCCCTGCAGAAGGTCTTAAGTTGTTCTATACTATTCCGGTATTTACCTTACGAATTAGGAAAACTGCAGGAAAACCTAATTCGGAGTAGCCGGCAGAACGCTCGAAACTGAATCTAAGGAAATTCCCATTTCAGAACTAGAACACAGAAGAAAAATTCACCTCAAACCAGGTTCGAACACCCGACCTCCGGATTTACACCCCAACGCTCTACCACTGAGCTATAATGCCGGTATATCGTGATCTCACAATGGGGATTGAGACGTCTGCAAGAAATATATCCATTGGTGATGTCATTACAAAAGCTATTTCGGTTAAAGAAAATGCATTTTATCTGCATACGAGTTGTGCACAATTTATACTTGTTTAAGTTGCTTTGAGATAGTTATCTTAGATGCATTATATCAGGTGAAGGAAACTACTCTTTGTTTTATATCCTTCATTTAGCTAAAAAGACCTCAGCCGTAACTGTAATTTATTTAATTCGATCTTATCGAAGAGCCCACAATCAATTTGGCTAAAGAATAAGGAAAATTCTTTCTAAAAATATTTATTGCAGACATAATGTTTGACAAACAGAACAGACGATGTAATTTAAATTGTCATTCTTCCGCCGTACACTCATCCACGGAACGTAAATGCGCCTGTCAAATTCACTCTAATATAAAATGTTATATTGGTAATAAAATACCTGTTCGAAAATTCTCATATACGAACGCATTCTTTTTTTGTGTACTCAATACAAAAGAAATTTTAATTTAGTTTTTCCCTGCGGGCGATTTGTTTTTTGCAACTAAATTAAAATGTTCGACTGAACGTCATATCAAGTAATAAGCATTGAACAAAATTGCCTTTGTTTACCTTAAATTGTTCATCGCGGAAAGGATTTGAAAAAATTGATAAATTTACAATTCAAATCTAAAACAAAACATACATCATATATAGCGAGTCTTTTGAGAGATCCCAAAAGT